CAAAAATTTCCTTTAAAAGCAGTGTGCAACATTGTCAAATTAGAACTTGATAATAAAATCATAGGTTTAACATTCAAACACATTATTTACAAAATAAGAGCTTATATCAGTGAAATCAAAATACATAAGTTTAATAAAACAAATTTTACGACTTCAATACAAATAAGGTCACTAAGTAGTACATGCTCACAAATTATATGTCCAAGACGTATCCTAATCAACTGATCTAAAACTAGAATCTTGATCTGGCGATAACTCCTTGACCCGTCCTCCTAAGAACTTGTAGATAGAAACACATTCTGAATGTTGAGCTCATGAGCTCAGTGCCACAAAAATAACTCTAACATATTATATGCATTCATTACATGGGCATACGAACAAGTATAAGCATGAAAATAGAATTACATCTATACAAAATCAAATGTAGACATCATGGTGTAGTCGGAGGGTCATACAACATCTCGGGACTCACACCCTAATCTAAGGTACCCTAGATAAGACCCGTGCCACTTAGCATCAGAATCTTCATCTAGGAAGACCTTCATTGCCCAGTACCTAGGACGCCTCCAGTTTTACACAACATCGAAGCCTATGTTTTATTAGTCTACTCCTTAGATTATTTAGAACGCCTCTGGGGTTACATAGCATCAGAGCCTACGTTCAACTAGCGTTTTAAGTGCATAAGCACTGACTTAACATATTCAGATATCTAATCACACAAGACAATCGTCTTACTTCTAAAGTAACTCGGGTATCCTGACTGTTTCCTGAATGTCACACAAGGTTAGTTTTATACGATATTAATTTATGCCGTATTCGTTATAACGATACTTATTTCTTGTTCTCACTTGTGGTCTTATTAGTTAAGTTATAGTGTTATTGGAACCTTTTTTCCCAATATGTGATCAATTAGGGTTTTACCCAAATTGGTACGTTAATACCGATACTAAACCCTTTAGTATCGGTACGAACACTTGAGTATCGATACCTACCATTCGTATTGATACTAATAATGACTATTGGAATATAAAGGAACGGGAAGTATCGATATCCTAAACTAGGGTACCAATACTCATATACTAGGGTATCGATACTATCTTGAGTATTGATACAAAATTTTCTTCAATGTTTTAAAAATTAATTAAGTATCGATACTCTTACTAAGGGTATCGATACTCCAAACTCAATATTGATACTCCCATGAGTATCGATATCAAAATATGCTACTGGAGTATGTAATCTAAATAAGGTAATAATAATTCCCTTGAGTATCGATATCCGAATAACAAGTATCGATACTCATAGCCCAAAAACCCTTGTTTTAGGCTATTTGAAGAATAATATCAAACTATTCATCTATTACCGATACTTAAACCCAAAAATGCTCTGGTTCCACGGAAATACAACCCCTGACCCTACCATCATTTCCTCTAAGGCCATTAAACGTTATTTAATGCTCATGGAGTTATAAGGGATCATTATAAATCATATAACATACTTTGTTCACCTTAAAAACATCTAAACCCATGATCAAAAGGAAATGTACATACATGCTCATTGAACTAATACAAGCAAAAAAACACATGCAAGGACCTACATATTGTATAAGAGAGTCATAGGTGTGTTACCTTACTCCTAAGCTACAAAATAAACACCTTGAGCTCACCCAAGAACAATCTTGCCCTTGCTCTTGCCCTTGGAGCTTTCTCCCACCTCTTGCACTAATCAAAAAACAAATAGATGAGTTACCCACTCTTTTAGGAACTTGATAAAAAGTTAAATAAACTTCCTAGGGCCTAAATCTACTCGAAACAAATTAATTTCACAAAGGTTGCCAAAACCAATATAAACCCCACTATCGTTTTCCATGTTTTCCATAGCTAAAACTTGAAGAATAGGGTTTGGATGAAAGCTCAAGAGGTGGGGATTTCATCACTTACCTTAGATTTTCGGAATGGAAAAGATAGGTTCACAAATCTACCACCTTTGCTCACCATAAGAGGGAAAATGAAGAATGTAGATGAAAAAAAAGATAGAGGTGGGGTGAAAATGAGACTTTCACTTTTCCTTATTTCTTCTCCTGTGACATCACAAAAATTGAATGAAAATCAACCATTAAAACAATTAGGGGGTTAATTGCTCTTCTAGCCATCTTCCTTTCATGCCCAAATCAAAAACATATTTTTTAAGTCCTAATGGACTCAAGCCCAAACCAAAACAAGTCAAGCTTAGCCCAAATCTTCTAAATGGTCTTTGTAGACACCCGTTTTTGTACGGGTTTTAAATTATAAAAAAAAGGTTATGACAGTCTCTTGGTTTATCTAAAGCTCATCAGGGTTTACTCGAAACTACTAACTCAAAAATCGGGACATTACAGACTCGACTCGAAAAAATATCAAGTTCAAACCGAGTTGTAAAATACAACTCGAACAATAACTTGATTTTTTTTGTAATTAGTTAAATGATTTTTAAGCTTGAGTCGAGTCCCTCGAATTTGTATGATATATGTATATCATATATGAAAAAATATGAAGAAATATATATTTATTTTATATAGTTATAAAAAACCATTTAAATTAGAATCAAATAATATCATAATATTATAAATATTTATAATTAAATTTAAACAGAAACTCGAAAATTCAACTCGACTCAACTCAACTCAAATTTTATAAACTCGACTTGAAATTTTTTTAAGTCAACTTCGAGTTGTAAAATAGGATTCGTCAACTCAAATAACTTGAATTTTTTTTACTCGACTCGATGGATCCGCTCCTTACATCTAAAAATATTACCAAAAGGACTCATACCGTTAGATATAGAAAACACACTTATGGTAAAAAAAAAATGACACCCTAATATGAAAACGCTGCTGTTGTTGAAATGGAGAGCACTGAAAAGTAAAAAAGGGTTTACAACTTATACCGCTTTCTTATTTTAACTTTTAAGCATGTGACAAGACAAATTTAGGGTTTGACTTTTTTACAATTCACTTTAACATGTCTTTGTTTGTACTTACACTGAAAACTTACTGTTAATGCATTCATGTATGGGAACGGTTTAAGATAGATTTTTCTCCACTTTGAAAAGCTTGAAAAGATGCTGGTTTGGTTTCGAGTTGTACTCCAGCTTGATTTGTCTCCGACCCTACTCCATTTACTGTATAATGTAGGATCGGTTTTAAAATTTTTAAATTTATATAATTTACTTTTTTATATTTTTTAAATAATAATATAATTTTATCATCTAAAATTTTAATTCATTCAATAACATTAAATCACCCGTTAATTTTACATGCATTCTTTACCGATAAGGTTTAAGGTTGCAAATTTAGGTTTCTAACAGACATAATTCAAGGCATCTTGTATGACAAACAGCTGAGCTGGATTTGATGGTAATTATGTCTCCAACTTGAGTTCCTCCCCATCAAGGTAGCAGGCAAAGATTCTCTCAAAATTAAATGTTACCTGTGATTTCTAAAGTATTTTTGGACATCACCTTTTGAATTTCGTCATATCGTTTTGACATTTTAGAAATAAAGTAAGGTACAAAGTGTGGTGTTACGCTTTGGAGAGCATCATCAATTACCATTAGGGTGTTCAAATCTAGGTATCCAGGTTTTCGGACACGAGTCTTCGGATAGTTGATTTGTCGGCCTGAGACTTGATCCGGATGTTACGGGCACCCAGTAATCGGATATCTGGATTTTGCGGGTACTCATAATTCGAGTACCTGGTACCCGTTTTTTTTCCATTTTTAAATTATTAATTTTAAAAAATATATACATAAATTTAAATGTTCGAAACTTCGAATTACATACTCCAACATCCGAACATAAAATTTAAAAGTTCGAAATATAAAATCTAATAATCCATAATATAAATAAAACATAAAAATTCATAGCTAACTAGGGTAAATATGAATTATGATAGTCATTAACATCCAATTACTAAACTATCAAAACTTAATCTAATTATGATATTAAATTATAATCACAACTCATTTATATAATTTAATTACCTAGACTATCAAAACTTAATCCAGTTATAATCCAATTAAAATAATATCATATTAATCATAATCCAATTACTAAACTATCAAAACTTAATCCAATTATAATTCAATTACAAATAATATCAATATTTATACAAATTATCATGTTAATGGTTTAGTAATTGGATTATATATATATATATATATATATATATATATATATATAAACTAACTGGGTACTCGGAAAAACTCAATTTTGTGATCCGGACACAATCCGAAAGGGTATTATTTTAAAAAAAATTACCTAATTTTTAGGTTCGGGTCGGCGGGTCTGGTATTTTTGCACACCGCTAATGGCCAACCAAACCAGCCAAGAAGTAGGTTGTGTTCCATTTGATGGATCACGTTGCCATACAAAGGATGAATCAAGGGATTAACAGGCAATTATTTTTCTGAAAATTTTAAATTTTCATATAGAATAAATATTTTGTATTTTTATTAACATTGCTATTGTTTCCAGCCATAAAATCTTGTGTTCGTCTTCAGAGACGGACACAAGATTTTATGTTAGGAGGGAGAACTTGAACTTATAAAATTATAGAGAATAAACTTGAATATATAAAATTTCAATGGGCGAAAACAGTTTTTTAATTTAAAAAATACATATTTTTTTAATATATGATAATTTTAAATTCTAAGGAACGAATTTGAATATATACAGATTTTTTCTCTAGAATTTGAACTTTTTCCTTAATCAGATTTAAATTCATGTCCGTGTATATGTTGTAGTTGAAATTATAGTCATCAAAGATTTATTATTCGACTTCAAGAAATATAATAATATTAATAGAAAGCAGAAACTATAAACTTATATACGTACATCACTAAGTTTTGCTTGTAAATTTAAATCTTAAGATACAAAATTCATATTGCTGAATCGATTTAAGTGATTATAATTTTTAAAAATTAAAAAAAAAAGTATGTGCAAGTGAAACAAATAATTTCCAAATAAATAAATAAATAAAATTGTTTTGAAAATGTACAAAGATCCCTTGCAGCAAAGCCCGAGTCAAGGCCTAGCCGGAGCAAGACTAAGGTGCAAATCTAAGCCCAATGTTTCGTCAAAACTGGGGCTACCGTCTCCCTTTGAAAACCTACGCAACGATGGCCCATCAACCGCCCGTCCATGGTGGTGGGCACCACCTTGCATCACCGGACCAACGCCTACCCCCGGCTTCCCCAAACCACTAGCACCACCCCCGTACGATACCCCCGCCGGCCCCCTCCCCACTCCACCACCGCCTCCGGCGCTTGGGATCACGCAACCGTGTGACACTTGGAAAGGAGGTGGACCTCCCCGAGGCAAGTAAACCCACGACGGTCCATCCCCAGCCGGCACCACGACGGGTGTAGGTGACGCCAAGAGATGCGGCGGAGGAGCAAAGGCGGAGATAATAGGATTCCAACCAAACGGAACGGCCGCGTTTCTCGTGGCCTGAAGTTGGGCACGCTTCATCTGTTGCCTCTCCTTCTTATGAGCGTTCTGATGACCTCCCAAAGCTTGAGAGTTAGCAAACTCGCGGCAACAATACTGACACTCGTATTTCCGGTCAGCACCACCAGCGAACCCGCCCGGCTCGGAAGATGACCCAGAAGACGGATCTTTCGTACCACTAGACTCCATAACATCATCATCTTCCGAGAAGTTAAATCCGAATAGCTTTAAACGCGCCGTAGTGTTGTTGCTCTTGGTACTGTTATCACCTTGGTATTCTAGCTCCGCCATGACAGAGAAAACCCCCCAAAAAATAGAACGAGAAATGAACAAAGCGTAGGGCTAGTAATTTAATGCAAAATGTAAGGGAAAGAGTTGCATGTATGGGGTATATATACATGATAAAAAGGGTTTTCTGGGACATGAACAGTATAATGTTTCGTATATCCCAAGAAGAGAGTATAAGGGAACACGACACGACCCAAGAACACACTTGACTTGGGACCCTCACCTATGGGGATTCAAATTTATATTCGAAGGATTGTTATTTTTAGAAATTTTAGATTTAAATACAACGTCAGAAAAATTGTTTAAACGTCCATTATCAAATAATAAATAGTTTTTCAAACAAATATTTTGTTGTAATCACTCTATACAAGTAAAAAATTATCTTTTTTAATTTATAATATAATTTTATTTTATTTACACCGACAGATCCAAGTGTTATTTAGAGTGTGAGCATGTATTTATTTTGGGAATCAAATTTTTTTATATTAATTGTTTATTTTAATAGTGATGCTTATATTAAATTTTATTTATACTCATATAGTTTTTTATTATTGATATATATATATGTGTGAACCCTTGAAAAATACTTATAGATCCACTTATACGTATTTATAATAGAAGTTTTGTTGAGAACGTGAAGCAATGAGGTTAGATTAAAGCAGATTAGGAGGTTGAGGGGAGTGTGATGTAGACTACTTTGGTGTAAGAATAAAAGGTTTGGATGGCCAATCAGAAGCAAACAAAGTTGTTTTCAGACATTGGGTGTGTTAAAATAACAATGTTCTTACACGACACGTACAATTCCAAGGAGGTGGTTATGGGTAATTTTGAGGTCTATGGAGTATAGGTTAGATAGGTCGATGGCTGTGTTAATGGTGGGCATCAACATGGCTTTAGGATTAAACAAAACACTAACAAACAAAACGAGGTGTACTAATGAAAAAGATCCCATCCGGAATGATGACACATGTTGGAAAACTGGGGACCTTTCTTTGTTTAATCAAGTATTATACTAACTAATCAATTAATTAAGTGTTAACAGTGATGGGAAATGTTAGTGGAACTGTCTCCGATGGGACGCCGTGTTGCCTCTCTTAAATTCCCTGCCAAAATCTCTGCTAAAAAAAAAACTTTTATTTTCTCTCTGTTAATCTTGATTTCATTTGTTTTGTTTTCTCTCTCTTTCTGTCCTGCGTTTCACTTCAGCTCAATCTCAGGAGCCGATACCGCCGCCCACCGCCACTTTCGCTTCCCATTTCTCTCTAAAAGAAAAAGTCAAATTATATCTAGCATGTAAAATTCATACATGCATGCATACATCTATGCATGTACAATATGTGTATTTCTTTATGCTTTTTCTAAACTTCCAAAGATAGATCTTCGTACCTCAAAGTTTTCAGAGAATCCTTTCACAGTTGAAACCCTAGAAAAATATCTCCGGATAAGGAACCTTAAACACCTAACACACACTTTAAAAAGTCACGACCCCCTTTGATAAGTCCATATGACATACCAGAGCTAAATTTAATATTAATCGACTATATCCACTTAGTCTGTTAATATATGAGTAGTGATAATAATTTTAAGATATTAACACTAAGAGTCACTACAAAACATATTAACTAGGAGTGAGAGAACTATATTCTTCCTCTTCATGGATCCATCTTCTACCTCCTTACGGAGACAGAAGATTTGGACACTGAGCTACAATTGTTCCATTATCTATTTTGATTTTCAATGAAAATTAAATAGGATTAACTGTCTATAATGGTCAAAATCCACTTATTTTAATCAACTTTAAATTTTGAATGATTTTGGAAAAAGAAACAAGTGGAAGTAGTGATGGAGACCAAAGCAGCTTTAGTAACTATGATCAGAATTCTGATAAAAAGTAATATAGTGATGGGGTTGTGGACCAGCTGAATCCCTAGGGCTAGCAACATGTTTCACATTAGATAAACCTTAAACTCCTAGCCATGGCAGCAGTTTCGTGGGAGTTTAGTCAACTCAACCATGGTAAGCTAGGGTAAAACTCTCACTTGCTCTTTCTCTCTCTCTGTATATATATATATATATATATAGGGTTTAGGGCATCGGAATCAACGGATGGAGATGAAGAAAATGACGGAACGTTGAGGGGTTTTAAAACTAAGGAAAACAGACCCATGTTTATGCGTTGATAATGAATAATAATTATTTAGCGTGATTGACGTTGAAATCTATGTTTGTTTATGTAATTTTCTTGCTTTGCCTTTGTCCAAGATCTATCCGAATCTTACTAACTACGAGAGGGAGAGAGGGAGAGAGAGTTGTGGTTTTTTTTATTAATTCGAGGTAAGTATAAGATAATATTTATTCAAATATAACTCTCAACACTTTAATATTGAACACTCACACTCCTTGTATATATAGTGCTCGAACATATGTTCTCAAAAAATAATAACAATTCTTTTACTACGGAGATCACTTGATTCATATTTGGGATTTCTTTCTTAATTATAACCTCTTCAATAATTTACCTCCCACTTCCAAAGAGAATAATTAATGTTGTACTATTAATAATAATAAGTACAAATTATATTGTTGCACAAATTCACCTGAAAATTTGTATTATATTATGCAAAAGCTCTTACCAAGTGTTAGTGTTGGTCACAACTCCAAACACATGACATGACCTACCTATGTCTCCCCCTTTCTCATGTGTGTTCCATTCAAACACCTTTCACTTTTGTCCTTTCCCCCATAACAACATCCCACACCCACCCATCTCTCTCTCCTTTTCTTTTCGGCCGTTAGATCCATTTCATGATTATTACTAAGATCAACATGTGCCCCCTCCTTTTGTATTAGGTAAAATATATTAAATTTCATTTAGTTATATTAAAACGATCTTTTAAGTTATTAAACTTTTAAATAATATAAAATAATCATTAAAATTGTCAAATTGTTACAAAATGATCCCTACAACATTATAAATAATATTAAATTCTAATGAATTTAATGATCATTTGTGATAATTTGATAAATCAAATGACCATTTTGTAATCGTTTAGGAAGTTTAATGATCATTTTACACTATTTGAAAGTTCACTTATAAAAAAATTCATTTTGACATAATTCAATAATTTATGGTATACTTTACCCTTTTACATTTTTATAGACTAAATGTTCCTATAAAGACCTAACCTCTTAGAAATTGTTCATATCATGATTTTACATTTCATAACGGTCAAATAAGGATCTAGTTTTGAAATAATAGTTTTTTTCAATATAATAATTAAGCATATTAAAAAATATCATGTCCTTATTTAGATAAATCTAAAAGTATTAAATCTTTATTTAAACTTTTTAAAAATTAAATTTGTATATGAACAGTTTCAAAAATATTATGTTGTGAGTAACCATTTAACCTATTTTATATTATAAAGATACATGTAGATGTATAGATCTTGTTATTTAAAAATCTTAGTTAGATTCTTTTATACATTAAAATGGAAAGAAATTCATAAACATATATGTATGTATGTCCAACCTAACTTCTGTTATAAGTTAATGCTCTTAGATTCTTTCTTGCCCTTTATAAGGACAAATTTCTTGCTGGTCTCGACAACCAGGTAAGGGATGTGATGGTTGTGATGACCCATCCCATGCATCAATGCATGTGGGGTCCATCTTTTCATTTATTTGAAACTTCTCTGAACATGCATGTTTGTTACATACATAGGAGACCTGAAATTAATATGCTCATAGATTTTGGACTTAGATTGGGATCTTCATTAACTCAGACGAGGGAAAAAAAATAACAACTTGCCTTTATTAAAACCTAGTGACCTTTTTGCTTTATTTTATGTGTGGATTCAATGGTTTTTCCCTTTGAGTCATTCTTCCTTGGTCAGTCCTTTGTCCTTGTAGGGTTAATTAGATTGAAAATATATGAACACAGGTTGGGCCATTATCACCCACTATGGGACTCAAGCAGGGAGTTGGTGTCCTAAAAAAGTAACTGTGCTCTTAAGTGACCTTAAACAAATGTGAATGGTCAGGTTCAAAATGGTGAAGGGAGTTCACTGTTTTTTTCCCTTTAATTAAAAACAAACTCCTTTCAAAATTCAAAGTTTATTTATTAAATTAGTACCCATTTATAATTATTTGTAGATATAGTATCTAAATATTGATCGAATTTGTTTTTATCGTATGTAACACGTTCAATTAGTAAATGAGTATATTTAATTTTAAAAAAGTTAAAACATGATTCATTTAATACATTTTTAATTAGAATATTTAATTTTAAGTAAATCAATAAAGTTAGTAAAAGTAATCAATCAAATCATGTACCGTTAAATTCAGATGTTTTCGGATGGAAACCAAGAGATGATCGAAGATTTACTGTGAAGTCGGTGTATGCAATCAAAGAAGGAGTGCACAACGAGAATGAAGAAGCTATCTGAAAAATCATTGCTACTTTTCGAGGACCACCAAAGGTTAAACTTTTTCTTTGGCTAGTGTGTTGTGATAAAGTGCTAGTAAATGCGGAGCGGAAGCGACGACATCTCAAGGTAGCTAGATAGTTTTGTCCTTTATGTGTTGATCATGTAGAAGTTGTCAATCATATGCTACGCATGTGTCCATCGACTATGGTTGTTTGGAGTGCACTGGTGAAACGAGATCGATTGCGAGCCTTTTGAATATGGACATGAAGGAATGGATAGCATTGAATATTGGCAATCTAAAGGATTATGTTGGGCAAGTTGAAAATTGGGATCTTCTCTTTGGAGCAATTGTGTGGTATATTTGGATCCAGCGGAATGCGATTGCATTTGATAATCCACTGGACGACGAACGGTCACTGCTGGAACGGAGCAGACAATGGCTAAACGCTATGAGTAGAGCTATAGCTAGAGGAGGCACCAGTAATACTGCTCTATGAACATCGACAATGGAAATTAACAAATGGAAACCCTCACTCGGGATGGACCGAGAGGGAACTAAGGGGTGCGGTCACATCCTCTAAAATTTTTAAATTCTTTTATATTTTATATTTTATCTTTGTATTTTCTATTGATTATTTAATTTTACTTCCTCGAAATTTTATAATTTCGCACCCACTAAATTTTTTAATATAACTTCTTAAATTCATACCTTCTTACGTAAATTTATGTGTATC